TTGGACAGTGTCTTGGGAAGGTAAGCCGTGGAGGTCCATATGATTGCTTCAGACCTCTTGTAACTGAGACAGTGAGAAAGGAGTTGATCAGGAGTTGGCCTGTAAGAGGCAATGCACTCTGGAAAAGAACTGCTAAAATTACAAGACTGGAGGAACAAAGAGGCTGATGGTCAGGTATTTTGAAAGGCTGAAGAGCTCTTATGGTTGATCATAGCTTTTGATATGTTTCTGCTTGCGCAAGGTCTTTTAAGCAGCTCATTTTGGAGCAGAGAATTAAAAACTGTTTAAATAGGAGGGTACATACATCTTCTGTTCTGTCATTCTTTTTGCTCTCATCTTTAGTAGGAGGAGTTACGTTCTAATAATGTGCAATTTGTTAAATGTACTGTATTATGCAATCCTGCCATATGCATGTTCATGTTCTCTTTACATATGAGAAGCGAAGCTTATATCACCTGTTTATCTAGGTACTCCCATGACCCTCTGTTACTGTTGCCTTAGTGATCCTCCCAACTGTTTAGCAGAAGTAATAATGCCTGTCTTGCAGGAAATTTAGGCTGATTACTTCAATGGGTGTTATGCAAGAGGGTAAGTGCATGCTAACTTGCATGAAGAGCTTATCTGAGAATGGCTTACAAAACTGTGGTTCACATCCAGCTCATAAGTAATGTAACATTCCCACTCTGGGGAAAAAAAAAATAATCCGTGAAGAGCAATGTTGTAAGGTAAAACATTCAACTGGTGCTGAAGGGTAAACTGTCCAGCCCCAAATCACTGTGTCCATACTCTCAGAGCTGCAGGATCTGTCACTCTGGCATTTGCGATTTCTCTCTCTCTCCACGCTGTTCAAACAATTATGCGAGTTATGCTAATTGCCCCCTAATAAAATGTATGTTTACAATTCCACTTCGCCACTTTCTGATTTCTACAGAAAGGCTTGAAAAGATGTAGTCATAGAAACAAATGGAGATTCAGCACCCTCAGTTTTACTGGAACCAAGTCTTCCTCCTGCTCTTCTCCAACAGAAAGACAGCAGCTCACCACTGCTCAGTTTGTATTCTGGGGGAGCGCAGGGCTGGGGAGCCACGGAGCAGCATCACTGGGAACTATCAAGCACTTTTCATCCTCCTGCTGAGGTTACTTAGGTGAGGAACTGACCTGTTTGGAGGGAGGTTTTGACAGTGTGATCTCATCTTCAGAGCATCATCTTTTCTAGCAGTTTAAGGTAGGTTGCTTGACAGAAGCCATGTCCTCTCCTCCTGCAGAACACGGACGCAATTGTTAATGTTACAGAATAATAACTGAACGCAAAGAAAAACACAAACCTTAATAGCTCCTGGATATGGGTGTTAGGAGGAATCAGAATTCAGCTCAGACTGGGCTGTCTCAGCCAACTCCTTTCTATATTAAGCCAAAGCCATGATTATTAATCAGCATAGCCTACAGTTGTTAAAAAAAAAAAAAAAGAGATACTGAAGCCTGAATCTAAATCTCATTTAAGTCGTCCTTTAAGTCCATTTCTTTTTATTGAAAAATAGAAATGCAGCCAGTGAAGTACTGTTACTCACACGGTGGGAAGTTACAGTACCTTGGTGTTTATGCTGGATATTCTTTTGCAGGATTCTACACTTTGTGTTATGCAGTTTCACTCCTGATGCTCAAGATCAACTAGAAACTCCGATGGTGGATATAAGCACAAACTGCTGATCGAGAGAAGTCTTCAGTGGCTTCTGGACACGGCTCTGATTTTGAACCATTAGGAAATGCATTTGCCACGGAGAAGGCGGCTACAACGGAACCGAATCTTTTTCTTGCTTGCCATAGTGTTGGTCCTTTCTCTCTATCAGCTCCAGTTCAGCCACTATGCCCTTCCAGCACCACACACAGCGCCCCAACCCATGGACCCTGTGAAAGTGACCTCCAGGGACCTCTCCAGCAACAAAACTGCCATAACAGGCAATGTCACAGCAGTACCCAAAATAAGGCACTGTGTTTATGTGGATCCTGAGCCAACTGTGCACATCACTACATCAGTGGATTCAACACCAGAGCAAGAAAATGCCAGCAAAAGCTACCCAGATGAAACACCACCATACGAGTCCAAAGGAGAATATCCCCAGGACCTATTCAGTGTGGAAGAACGCAGGCAAGGGTGGGTTGCACTTCACATCTTTGGCATGATGTACGTATTTGTGGCCTTGGCCATAGTGTGTGATGAGTATTTTGTCCCCGCTTTGGGAGTGATCACAGAGAAGTTGCAGATCTCTGAAGATGTGGCTGGAGCCACCTTCATGGCAGCAGGTGGATCAGCACCAGAACTCTTCACCTCCCTCATAGGTGTCTTCATCTCACACAGCAATGTGGGCATCGGTACCATTGTGGGCTCAGCAGTGTTTAATATCCTCTTTGTCATTGGCACCTGTGCCCTCTTCTCAAGGGAGATACTCCACCTGACATGGTGGCCCTTATTTAGAGACATCTCATTCTACATTGTAGACTTACTGATGCTCATCCTGTTTTTCCTAGACAGTGTCATTGATTGGTGGGAAAGCCTCGTTTTACTGACTGCCTATGCCACATACGTATTTGCTATGAAGCAGAACGTGTACCTAGAACAATGGGTGAAGCAGGAGCTGAACAAGAAGCTAAATGCTGTGCAGGCAGCATCAGCAGAGCGTATACAGAAGGTTGGTGTCCTTATTGTTCAGAGGGCGAGTTGGAAATAATTTGTTCTAGCATAAACCACCAAGAAACACTCCATCTCCTTCACAAAGCCTGTATTCAAACCTCAGAATACAGGTACTGGTCAATAATTAGGGTTATAAAAAGAGGGAAACGCAATTTAGATAGTAGAGATTCTAAGAAATTAGAGAACACCACTAAAAGGGAGTTCTGCCCTTGCGTTGCTAAATATATCAGTTGTGGTCGATCGTGTACTTTCAAAGACACGCTTGGGATTTTGCTCACTTGGTTGTTGTAAAGGAATTTCCAAAAAAAACGCTTGCAGGAAAAAATGGTTAGTCTGGGAACATGATTGGACAATTCTGTGTTAAGCAGAGGGAAAAAGGCTTCTGTTAAGAGGTGCTGTTCAAGCCTCTTGCAGCTGAGAGATGTTGGAGAAAATTTTTTCCCATTCTGAGGCTGGGTGTGTCACTGGGGCACTAGTGGTATCACTGGTTACCCAATCTGCAGGATAGAAAGGGATCTGGCAGCCTTTAGCAACCCACTGCCACCCCTCCCGATCAGCATTTGGCAACAAGATGGAAGTGCCCAAATCCCATTTCCCAGCACTGACCACAGCTGTGTGTGCTCAGAGACACCATTCTGTATGCCACTGGTGCCCAGACAGGGAGGTTTGTGCCTGTAACTACATCCTACAGATTTGAGACCAGGGCCCTCCACTCATTGTCTTTGGAAGGAAGACTTGACTGCTTACACAAAAGGCTTCCCCAGAGGCAATTACCCTTTCAGACTAGCAGATCTGGCCAGGACTTGGTCTCCAGAACACTTGAGGCTTAGTCTTCTTGAGTGTGCCTGCCCACTTCTTCCTCCTCCATCTCTCTCCAACTTTCCTGCTGCCTCTTTGTCTTCTTGACCTGTGCTACTGCTGACTGTCGAGCAGAGACCATTAGATTTCAAATTGTCCTCTGGCATTGTCATGCTTTACTAGTCAGATGTGTGTCACTGGCACTCAAGGATGCTTTACCCTTTCTGGTCTCGGCCCTCTACATAATTTACAGAAAGAAAGAAGGAGAGGTGAGGACAGTTGAAGTGGTGCAGAATCAAGAAAGTGCTTTTCTTTTCTCCTCCTGGTCTGTCTTTCAGCCAGGGCTCAAAGCTGGGAGTCCTGAAAGCTCATGTTTTGCATTCCAGTGGAATACTTGTGCAAGATACTGCAGCTGTACATATACATCACTGTAGACATTACCAATCATCATGAATTGAATTCAAACCTTCAGATTGAAGGAAAAAATCCCTGCATTTTAAGTTTACAGAGAACCCTCACTAGCATATAGTAGCATGACAGAGAGTCGCTGGACCTAACCCTTAGAAGAAATAAATAAGGTATATGGAAAGTAATGGTGATCGCTGGAAAAAAAATACCCCTTTGCACATTCACTCTGCCTCTGCTGGAAAATGAGTCAGGATACAGATGTTTGGGGATGAAATCTGGGGCTGCCTATATCTACAGGAATCAGATGGTAGAGGCCATTTGAGTGCACCTCCAGGTACCTACATCCTCACAGAGGAGCTGTGGGTAGAATCCTGTTTCTCTTGGAGACCACACGTTTTTAAGGAGAGCACGTGGCTTTGGCTCTTTCATGCCATGCACAGCCATTTATATTAGCTGTCCCACTTTCTCACAGGCAGTAGCCTGAAGAGCTATCATTATATCCTGAAAAATCAGGTTGAAGTGGTAGTGGTGTTCAATCGTTTTTGTTCTTGCTTGCATGCAGAAAAGCACTGAGGCAGTTGCAGATGATGGAACAAAGAAGCCAGCAGATGGCAGGAAGCTGCAGGTAGGTCTAATGCTGATCTGAAGTCATTCAAAATACAAATTTTGAACCCCTCCCTATGTCAGGTCATGAATAAAGATGTTAACTTCTGTGCAAAGAGACCTGGACCAAATCCTACTTTGTGCAAATAACCAGCCACGCTTGGCACAACACCCACAGCTTACTTAAGAGGACATCTGGCCGAGTTGTGTCCTCAAAGGAATTTTAATAAAAATTAAGAGACAGCTCAAGCTCCCCAAGTGGATTCGACTAGCAGAGTGCTATTCATTCTATGCTTTAAACAGGCACAGAAAAATTCAGAGCATGACTTTTCCTACCTGGCTTCATAGCTAGTTTTCCTCCCAAGCTCCCACAGCAGATGCTGGTAGGGTCTGTCCTTCCCCACAGCAAATACTGAAGAGCTCGTTCCTCTGCTCCTGGTTAAATTGCTGACCCTTTCTCTTCCCCATGGCTGGCCAGACGTTGCACAGAGAGGCCTGTCTCATGCAGTAGCTGCATATGTACGTGACATGACAGATGTTAGCACTTAACCGACCTGTACTAATTAATGTTCAGTTAAAAGCTCATTAGGACTCAGGTGTTGACTATAAGCACAGAGCACCAGAGCTTTTGAGTTTAAATCAGCACACCTGATATGAGCGTAGCTTTGTAACAGCATATAGATCTCCACAGTTACTAAAAGGATTATGATTAGAAGCACAGCATGCTTTGATTGCCATAATTTATAATAACACTGTATTGGTGCTAAGCCCATGTGAGCCCGTTATCTAAGGACATGGTGTCTCGAGAGCACGTCTCTTGCCATGAATGGTCAGTCCTGACAGCCATCCTGTGAACTTGAATGCAAAGGCTGTTCAAAATCCATGCTCCTTGGGTTGGGGAGATCAGCCTCCCTGCAAACGCATCCCCAGGGCAGGGGCGAGCCAACGGTGGAGATGTTTTGAGGAGGAAACTGCTATTGACTGCCGCGTTGTCCCTTCCCATAGCCTGCGTCGGCCTTACAGCGCGGCAGCAGCTCAGCCTCCCTGCACAACTCTCAAATGCGCAGCACCATCTTCCAACTCATGATCCACACCCTGGACCCCCTGACAGAAGGTGAGTGGTTGCTCCTCATCGGAGGGAGTGGGGTTGGCAGCCCTGAGCGCAGAGCAGTTTAACTGGGAATACAGCTGCTGTGTGTCGGGGATCAGCAGCTCGTCCTTGAAATGCAGCTCTGAGTACCACAGCCCAGGTTAGGTGGAGGGAGCTCTACCACGGTGGGATGTGCCTCTTCAGGTCGCATGGCTAGCAAGGACAAACACCTCACATTTTGGCCCTGCCGTATGTACTTTGCCTGTGCCAAACTGGTTGCTGCTGCGGTGGCAGCTGTGCTGCTTCTTGAGGGGGGATGAGGGCATGTGGAGCAGCTGCTGCTGCTGGGGTCCCTGCGAGCAGAGGTGGTCACTGCAGCCCCCCCATCTTCTGCTGTCCCTCTGACAACAGGAGCAGCAAACAGGAGTTACAGGCTTTCTCCATCTCATAGCGTGTCCCATCTTCCTGCCTCTTCTTAGCTCAGACCTCATCCCAGCCTCGGAACAGCAGCATTCAATGCTGACTAAATGTTTGAGAAAGAGCTGCTCGGCCTGTCAAGTCTCATTTGTGGTGGGAAAAATGATCACAGGGAGAGCTCATTGCCCATACACCTCCCCAGCTGTGCACACAGCCCCTCACAAGGCATAAACCTGAAGAAGATGAAAAAAAAGTTAAAATCCTTGAAGAATTATCTTGTTGACAGTGGTTAAAATCCCAGCTGAGATCTGAAACACACAGCAGGTTCCAATTACGATGGTTAAGCCAATCCCTACTTGATTTAGACCAGCACTGAGCACCTCTAAAAGCTCATCTGCAACACTGCAGCCTCCTCGCTGCCATGGTAAACTGAGCCCACAGCACTTTGCAGGCCATGGGCCAGCTCCCCATGGCCAAGGGCTGATCAGCTCAGGACTAAGACACCTTCTTTTAAACTGCCCAGGGTGCAGGGAAGTCACATCTCCGACAGAGTCTTTGTACACAAACTTTTAATGTGCTGCTTTGTGTCAACTTTAACAGAAACAGAGTGTGGAGGTTTATTTTCCAAGAAATCGTGAAGCATGTGAAAAAAAGACGGGTATTTTTGTTTAGATTTTCTTTCCTAGCTCAGCACCTGCCCTGCCCCGCCACTGCCCTACTTGTTCTAAAGAGATTATCTGTTGTCCATTCAAAGAGAGATTGAAGCTAAGCAGATCAACACCTCTCGTGTCTATCACAGAGGTTACAAAAAGGACTCTCCAGATCAAAATCCCAGCTACGTAAACTGATTGAGGGAACAAAGGAGGCTTGATAAGGACAGCAAGGCAAATAAGTGTCCACTTGGCTAGATTTTAGTGAAGGTACCCATCATGTTATTAACAGCAGCCTAACATGAACCAGACTCATTAGGGTTTGTTCTACTGCCCTTGCCTCCTGTCCCCCTCAAAAGGTGGTATCAACAGCACGAGGATAAAACCAAAAACTTACAAGAGGACATGCCGTTGCCATCAGCATCAGAAGGTACCAGACTTGAGGGACTGCTGCCACTCAGAGGCTCTCCAGCACCTTCTCATCCTTCCTGCACCTCTACATGTCTCTGTGCAGTGTTTGTCCACCCCAGGGCTGGTGTCCTCAGCTTGGTGAAACCCTGGGACCTCAGCAGAACTTGCAGGGTCCCAAGGATGCCAGCCCAGGGCAAGGAAAGTGCTCCAGGGCTGCCCCAGACAGGTCAGCCTAGAATACACTGCTGGGAGGGTTTAATGCAGTTGTAAGCTGCTGGCGTTGCTAAAGAGGCTGTTATTACCACAACTCGTGAATATTGGATAAACAGGGCTGAGGGTGCAGTTTGGATCTTCTGGGAAAGACAATTTCCCCTCTCGTTTCAGCCAGGCAGAATGCGAGTTGCTGCCTCAGTATCTGGCAGCCACTAGATGGGAGTGTGACCATAGGTACTTGAGCGAGTCTAATAGTCCCAGCAGGGACGATGCGAGGATGGGCTTCAGTCTTTCCAAAAGGTTATTATTTCTTTGCTATAATAAACCCACTGATTTAAGGGCAAAACCTCTGCCCCAGGTACATGCCTGTTCCACTCAACAGTGCCAGAACAAAGGCAGCTCCTTAGAAAAGATAACAGTGAAGAAAGTTACTGATACTACAGCAGCACAGCGCTCAAAATCAAGGAGCCGGTGTCCCGGGTCCTCTGTATCTCGTAGGAGACATTTCTAACCCTGATAAATTCATACCTAAAGAAAAGGGAGTCTGGAAAAAAAGGAATCATTTACGAATAGACTGAGAAACCTAAATGCCTCGAGGATCTTGGCCGAAAAGATGAAGTGACTCTGAAAAAGGATTTGAACCCGCCAAGGCGTATCAGGGGTGCAAGCTCAGCCTTTGTGTGAGCCCTCGGGGCAGCTGGGCGCCTGGTTCCCACCGACCGCCAGCAAAGTCCTTCTCTTTACAGTGTGTGCAGCACTGTCTGTACCGGATACATTTCTGTAATGAGGTTGCAACATAAAAGATGATCCCAAAGCAATTTTTCTTTCCTCAAGGGTCCTTGTTCCTTCTTGCCAATGCCTGTAGCATCAGCACTTAGAGGCTGTGGGAAAGAACACTCTACAAAAGAAAAAGGTTGCCAGCTATTGCTCAGCAGTTCCTAACTCAACCTACTGAAATCGGGATCTCTGCAGGGTTTCCTTCTTTATGCTGCAGTTGCATTTTATTTGGGCAGCAGAGAAGTGGTTTCAGGGCAGCAAGAATCCAAAATGTGGAAAAACTGCCGGCACTGGGCCTCCAAAACGACCTGCCAGAGGCAGAGGTCTTAGAAATAAAGTCTAAGTCTGAAATACAAACTTTGTTTCACTGTTCCTAATGCAACACCCTTGAGCGAAACGAAATTCCTCATTTGAACAGTGGATTAAGTTCAGAATGTTTATTTTTTCTTTTTGTATTAGGAAGGGATCATTAGTTAAGACCTTTTCTCTGTCTACAGGAGACTAGGTGTTTTATTTTAGAAGTTCTAACATTTACATTGCATCTTGAATTATTTTTTTGACAGAAGCTTTTATGTTCAACGTGCCTTTTTTTTAAAAAAAATGAGGAATTTCTAGCAACTTTAGGCTTTTCCCTACTTTCTCTGAAACTCTGTAGAAGCAGAGCATGAGATCTTTTCAACATCTTCCAGCTATACACCGGGGGAATTGTTGGGGAATTAAAGGCAACAAGGATTTTGGAAAGACTGAGGAACCCCCACATTTCCGAACCTCTAGTCTTACTATTGGATTGTTCTTTCAACTCTAGTCATACAGGGACGAAGACAGAAGCCTGCTTTTACTTTTGAGTGTGGAAAAAGGCTGCAGCAGCAAGGTTGTCAGAGCTGTCTACTCTCAGTATGCCCCAGAAAACAAGCTAATGAGTCTGGAAATTAGATCAGAATGGAGCAGCAGGCAGTGCAGGCCAGAGTTGGGAGAGAAGACTGAAGGCAGCTACAGTCTCTCCTTGCTCCATTAGCATTCAACCACTTAAGAGAATAATGGTACAAAGGGGCAAAAGGAATAATGAGATTTTTTTTTTTTACTTCTGCTTTTAGACAGCAGAATCTCCAAATCCTCCAGATTCCTGCCAAATTTTAAAGAAAAAAAAAATCCTTCCTGCTGTTCGTGTTGTAAACTAATCCTGTTAGATGAAATACGAGAGCCAAAGAATTAACTAAACGTAAGAGCCAAACTCAAAGTAGAAGCTCATCTGCCACCTTCAATCCAGCCTGAGTGCTGTCAATCCATAGGACAGGAATCTTCCTGAAGAGCATCCCAGGGCCCCTGGGCACAGGCACGTCCCATGTGAGGGGACAGAGAGTTTCCAGTGGTGGTTGCGCATCCTGCGGGGCGAGCGCGCTGCCCCGCTCGGCTAATGCCCCGGCTGGCACCTATCCTTCCTCCCCGTGCTGACCTGCACATGGGGCCAGCTTACAGCCAGCTCTTCCTCCAGTGCCAGCCCATCCTGCATGAGATGTGTGTCAGAGGAATGAACACCCTTTTTACATGAGGCTGATCTCATGAGAACAGGATAGTGGGCTGGACCTAATCTGTTTATCCTGAGAGAGAGATGCTCTCGCAGGCTCTGCTCGGCTCGGCAGTCCTAGCCTGCAGCCTAGGTGAGGGCAGGAAGCCAGGAGCTTGAATTTATATAATCTCTTTCGCCTGACCGCCCTCACCCTGCTGACAGAAGCTTTTGCAACAGCTTCTGGGAAAAGCTGAACAGAAAAGATGCGTTGCCCAGCGGTTAGAGGAGACTCGGAGCAAAAGGTCACCTCTTCGTTGCCCTGCACCCATGGGTGTGCTTGTGCTTAGCATCAGCAGAGGGGGAATGAAGCAAAGTGCTTCACATCCCCTCTGGCAGGCCTCAACATTGCCAAGGAGCATGGAAGAGTCAAGCTTTTTAGTCCCAGCCAGCCTTTCAAAGGAGAAGAGCTCAATGTTTCATCCCTGTCCAGCCATTCCAGGGTTCAGCCGAAATCCCAGTTGGTGAAAAATGTTTCTACCAGACAGTGAGAGGAGTCTCACCAGAATAGGACTCATCCCCAGAGGCCTTAAAGTCTGAGCCAGTCCCAACTATTGGACATACATCAGAGTCTACTGATTTTCATGAGGTTCAGCTCAGAACGGTACATCTGCTGTTTCTATTAACTCGGTACCACAGGGATGAATAAGGTGACAGGGTCCTGCCCTTGAGGCGAATGACAACAGCACGTTCTGGGTGCACAGTCAACAGCACAGTAGATTAAATCAGTGCAATAAAACTTTCAGAGGAAATTAATTTACAGTCCCACACACAAGCCCAGCGTAGCATGGCCAATTTCTTGTGGCTACTGTCCGTGTGCAAACCCTGAGACTCTCAGCTTAGTCATGGGGTAGGCAGCTCGACAGAGGATGGAGGTTAGAGCAAAATGAGGCTTTTCTTTGAGCCAATGACTTGCTCGCTATCCATGAGAGCAGGAGTTCAGATATTTGAGCACAACACCTAACTACGGAGACACCACACTCTTCATAGTTCACTGTAAGACAGTGATAAAGCAGCTCAGCTGAGCAGAGCATGGTTTACAGTGGAAGAAGTCCTCACCAGTCCCAGACATACAGTACTGGACACTGCACTGGTGAAGATAATCTCTGGGGTAGCCTGGGCCATGTTGAACCTGGACATCAGAAATTTAGATCAATTCCAGCAGAGAACACGGTCGCATATACTAAGAGAAATCAATCATTTTCCAGATAACTGGAACATAAAAGGTTTTTATTATTCCTTACCACTGGGTCACCAGGCTGCAAGCAGCACAGTAAAGCCTCTTCGACAGCCACATGGCAGAAGGAAGGTGTCATTTTTAGCTTGCACCTAATCTAACCTGAAAAAAATCAACAGTCCTTTGCAAACCAAACGATATTGCATCAAAACTCCTCTTTCTGCATTTGCTTCCCATGAAGCACGGATATCCCCTGTGTTACTGGACTGGAATGGATTTCCCTTCCCCCTAGGTTCTCTTTTAAATATGAAAGTATTAGTTACATTAAATCGTTGGCAGAATTGCCATGGTACTGAGCATTTAAATATAACAGCTGTGATCAACTATCAGCAGCCAAAACCTGGGGCCGCAGCCAGAAAGACAACTCACAAGTCAGTGTTGGCTGCGATCCATGCAAGAGGGACGGGGCAAGAGAGTGTGTGTGTGTTGGGGGGAGGCAGGTAACGGGGGGCTTCGCATAGCTGGCAGCTGCTGCTGAATGCGTCTTTCTCATCCACAGCAAAATTTAAAGACAGGGTTGACATCCTGAGCAACATGGCCACGGCCAAAGTGGAGACTCCAGCTGGGCAAGGATCGAAGCCAGAAGGTGAGTGCAAGAAGAGTCGGCGCTGTTTGCCTTGTTTTGCACCACGATCCCTCTCCTTCCAGGCACTCAACACCCAAGGGCTGCCCAAGAACACAATTTTTCTGTTATTACTGGTCACAGATCGCTGCTTTAATAACGCAGCAGAAACCAATCGATGTACACGAACAGTGGGCAATAAAAGCCATCCCCACAGGAGTCCAGGAGTGGTTAGTGAGGTAGGATCCAAACAGAATGTGCCACCAGGATGTAGCGCAAACTGCAACCAGGAGGGTGGAAGAAGGGACATCAGGCCATTACAGACAGCGGTTGGTCGCTGCGATGCTGCTGATCTGTGATAGACCCTGCAAATGAGTGTTCGTTACAACAAAGTTCCGTCATTTTAGCTCAGAAATTTGGCACACTTGCTGAAGAGCACGAAGGATTCCTCCAGAGAAAAAAGTTGCATCGACTTTCCCCATTACAATTCTAAGGGTCTGGGCATCCTCCCTTTTAACAGTTTTTGGCTTTTCTGTGTCACTACTGATATGCACAGGCTTTCTGAGCAGCTGTGGTCTGTGACATGGGTCTGTGCTGCCAGCGGGGCTGGAGGTTTTGAAAAAGAAGCAAACTTTTGTGTGGAAGGTCCCACCTCCCCAAGCGCACTGCTGTGGCCCAGCAGTCACCCGAGTGCCTCATAACATTGAGCCTCACTCACGTGAATGAGACCAAATTTGAGGGAAATACCGGTTAAGAAATGAGTAAGTTCTCAGAGAGAGTTATCAACCCCTCATTGACTTCATTGAACTATGAATTTTCACTCCCTGACACGTTTCGCAAACTTTGTTGGTGCATAGATAGAGCTCTGCACATTCCAAAAGCAGGATTGTTCTGTCTCCCACTTTGGGCTGAAGGTATCCCAGGTGGACTCTCTTAAGGCCTGGTTTCAGAAAGCCCAGATGACACTCACTGAAAACATACATTTCTGACAATCTCCCCTCCAGACTTGCTCCCTAGAGCAGCTGTGAGGCACTGTACTGGGTCAGCTGAACCAGTTGAGGATAAGATACCCTATAATGCCCCATCCTGGTACAATCCATGGCATAACACGATCCCACTGACTTGACAGGCTTGGCTATGTGGAGGGGAATCCCTTAACCCTTTTCAGCAGCCTGAGAAGGGCCCTCACTGTGCCCGAGCAGAGCACCAGGCACTCCCTCGCACCTCTGCGCTGTGTTATCCGTGTTTCTGCGCTGCTCTGCCCAGGTTTCTGCGTCCCTCCTGGCTACGCAGGTTAATACAGGAACAGCACAGAGGACATGGCAGTTACATCCTTGTGGTGTCAGCATTTTCGTGTTTGAACACCTACCAAAGGATTAGGGATTAAAGTCTGGCAGCGCGTGACAGTCATTTCTCAGAAGCCTCAAAGAGTATCAGTTCCCTGGAGAATGCCGTGCTCTACTAGGAAAAAAAGGGGAAGCAAAGCTTTGCATCCTTTGTGGCTCTTACAGATTGCTCTAATCAGATCTTCAGAATCCAGACTGAAACCAGGAAACGCTCGTCAGTTGTAGATCAGATGATCAGCATTTCCCTGTCGTTACACATGGGCCTCTTAGAGCAGTTTCAGATGGAAGGTCATAGGAGCACCAAGGGATCACTCTGCATCGGGTGGGCCAGATTCTGCCAGGCTTTTACTAATCACAATCCAGAGAGGACAAACAGAACACCTAGGCAGCCAGACCGGGTTCAACATGGAACTCCACATGCTCTTGTAGGAAGCTCAAACCTTCCTGCTGGTCAAGGGGAAGGGGAGGGGACCACTTGACCCTAAGATGACTGAAACCAGTTCTCCTCCTTATCGCTTTCAGCAGAAGAGCAAAAGAAGGCACCAAGCAGCGTTCGAGTAACTCCTGCCAGTGACTGTGACCCCAGCAAAGGCAAAGAGAAGACAGCTGCCCCGCAGGGCGGGCAGGTATCGAAACCAGCATCACCGGCAACGAGCGCTCAGCCCAGACCGGGCTTCACACACGTTTCCCTTCTTCCCTCTCTGGAGCTCTCGGGATAGGACCCAGCCTATCTCCCGTAACTGGCAACTAAAATAGAGTTTGGGTAGCGACGAGCTGTATTAATGTGTTAGCTGGAACATTTCAGCTCGCAAACAAAAACCAGGTCCAAAACATGACACCAACTGATACCGTACAGTATTTCCTCCTCAGATGACTTTTCTGAGGACAGTGGGCTACTCCGAGTAAGGGAAGATCCGAGTACCTGTCTGTTCCGTGTTCACCGGTACATGTTTCTGTTTTGTTACCCTAATCAATCTTCAATTGATGTAATTTGGCTGTTCTGATGAGGAAAGGTTTTCAAAGAGACAGTAAATGTTCCATTTGTGTCAAAACCCGTCTAAAAGTTGGTTCTAATTAACTGAAAGATATTAGTTCACATAATACACAGGCACTGAGACAGGGTGTACCTGGGTTTTGTCCCACAACAAGACCCTCCACCGCATTCCAAGTGTGATTTGTGCCAAGGCCATGGTAAAGAACCGCTGTGCAGCTCCTTGTTAGTGTGAAAACATGGTGGATTTTTTTTTTTTGTCCCCTGATCTACAGTCCTCTTCAGACAGCGATACCTCGGAAGACAGCAGCTCTGAGAGTGAGGAAGACAGCGATGATGACAGCACAGATGATGATGAAAACAACGAGCCGTTATCTCTTGAATGGCCAGAAACCAGGAAAAAACAAGCAATTTACCTTTTCCTCTTTCCCATTGTCTTCCCTCTCTGGAGCACTATGCCTGATGTTAGAAACCCCGTAAGAATCTTATCTTCCTTCTGCTACTGGACTCATTAACTGAGCTATAGATTTCCTCTTGGCAAGAGGCCCCTGTTCTATTTTTCCATGTCCAGAGTTTTTGCATACTCAAAGTGCTGTTAATGCTGCAGGGAGCGGGACAGGAGCCCCAGCTGCAGCATAGCAGATTTCCAGAGACTTAATTTAATAAATCACAAAAGACTAGCAACTATTGGTCATCTAATTAAGTTGACGAAAAGTAAATACAATTAGAGAGATCAGGGTCCATGTTAAAGCAATTGATTGCAGTGAAGCCTCTTGCAGTGAGTAATTCTCACTGGGGATTGTTAACGTTCCTGAAACTTTTCCACGTTTTTCTTTTCCAACTTGATTTTAACAGGACTCCAAAAAATTCTTTGTCATCACGTTTTTTGGATCCATCATCTGGATTGCTGTGTTCTCTTACCTCATGGTGTGGTGGGCTCACCAGGTGAGGGGTTTATTTTCTCTCTGCAAATGAGACCATTTCAGAACAAGCAGACAGAGAGAGAGGGAACAGCATCACTGGGGCATTTTATCTGATGAATTACAGCTGCAGTCATCCATCAAAACAGTAGAAACTTTGTTTTGTTAGAACCCAAAAGGGAATTTTCAATTTCATTCTTTTCGATTTGACAAAGAGTCGTTCTTTTTTTGAGAGCTTCCAGGGGAATTTGTGCATCAGTGAAAGGAAAAGTGCCATCAAGATTTATCTTAATACTGCCTTTTCATTGATGAATGCTTCTGTGCAGGAGATAATTATCCCTTACCTAATTAAAATTCTAGGAAAATACAGGTTCTGATTCTGGAAGCTGCTAAATGATCTCAACTCCCATTCGCTTAATGTTCAGCTGGTTTTCTGGGAAATAATACTTCACATCTCGTAAAGCCAGGCCCACAGTTTGTATTTAGTGACATATCACACATTCACAGTACAGCTGATGTAGAGCTGATCAGGCCATAAATCCAAGGACTGTCACTTCCCAAGCTTTTGGCTATTCATAGCTGATGTTAAGTTTGGAGAGGGAAAGGGAGGAGACATCCAGAAGAGGTGAACTTAGGACAGAAGAGTTGTGCTGTAGCTGACTTGACTTTCTGTCTTGGCAACACTGCTCAGACGCCCTACGCTATAGAGCAAATCCAAGATCAACATATGCTATGAAATTTAACTTTTTATCCTATAAAGCAGAAAAAACCACTACTATGTTTAAGGCCATTAAAATATTTTAACTCAAATATGGCCTGAAACCTAAAAGACTGCACAGAGCAATTAAATTCCATGTTCCAAAACTAACAGCCCCACCTGACTTTCTTTATGTTTATTAGGTTGGTGAAACAACTTGGATATCCGAGGAAATTATGGGGTTAACCATCCTGGCAGCAGGAACATCAATCCCTGACCTCATCACCAGTGTCATCGTTGCACGGAAAGGCTTGGGTGACATGGCAGTCTCCAGTTCTGTAGGCAGCAATATCTTCGATATCACTGTCGGGTGAGTATTAGCTCAGTGCTAAAAGATACATTTATTCTGAAATACAAAACAGGCTGGTTTTATTCCAAACAAGGTCTTAATTAATTCCATTTTAGCTGTAATTAAATGAAGAACAGCTGGACAACCAGTTACTTTTTTTTTTTTTTTTTAAACCTAACCTAGCCAGGAAAGAGAGATTTTTTTAATTTAGCAGAGCAGATTGGATATTAATTCACCTATTTCAGGTCATTGTTCTGCAGTTTAAAATAATGGTCCGTAGCTCAAACCAGAAGCAGCACCATCTTCACCTAATTCTGAATCCACAGAGAATCACTGATTTTTTCGAGGCAGTCGACATTCAGACCCTGTGCAGTCAGGCTCAGTATCTGTGCCTGTACCTTTTTCATCAATAAAGCATCAGGACTGACTTCTTTATTACAGCATGCTGAGATACTTAATTCATAGGTATTGCTTTTAAAACCCTTTTAGATTCTTGGATTGCATTGTGATAGTGCAAGTATTCTCCAAATGCAATTTTTGACACGAAGAACATCAATTTTAGATTTATGCCGAGTTATACTGAATGCAATCACGCTTTTTTTTTTTCTGCAAGAGTTTGGAAAAATTGCTTAGTTATGATGCAGAAAATGAACTGCTTTAAAACATTTATTTCAGTTACTTTTCCTTTACTTGCAGCTTGCCAGTTCCTTGGTTCCTTTATTCTGTCTTCAATGGGCTCAGTCCAGTTGCAGTCAGTAGCAACGGTTTGTTCTGTGCGATCGTTCTCCTTTTTCTCATGCTCCTGTTTGTGATTATCTCCATTGCTGTATGTAAGTGGAAAATGAACAAGCTGCTGGGGCTCACTATGTTTGCTCTTTACTTTGTGTTTTTGATCATCAGTGTCATGTTAGAAGACAAGATAATATCCTGCCCAGTATCTGTATGACATCCGGACACTTCAAGATGTACGTAAGCACGCATCAAAATCAAAAGGGGTTTAAGGTAGCAATTGGTCTACTGAAAAAAGCAACCAGAATTGTAACAAACTTACTGAGAATAACACACCTTTAACATACTAAAAAAAATAAAAATAATTCTCAAGTGGTATGTCAGCCTCTACTGGTTTTCTTTAGGATGAGGAAGGATCAGATAATGGAGTGACCAATATCCATTGGTGGTGTTGGTGGAAAAGCTGGTATGACACAGCTGCCGAGGTCTGTGCTGCAGCTGGCTTGCCATGACTTCCCCGTGCAAAGGTAGTTTCCATCCTTTCAGTGAATGCCACCATGAAGCATCCACACCTGGTACGCTGCACGTACCTCCAGGGAAGTGCAGACGGAACACGCGATGCGCTTCGGAGGAAGTGCTTTTTGCTGGGCCACTGAAGACTGGGGGAAATGTAATACTAAGGTTTTCAAGAAAAAAAGCAAAGCAGTAAGAATTATTTTGCATGCAGAAGAACACAGGATTTGAGTTGTGGAGCAATCCTGAAAGCTATCCATACAGCTCCTTTTGATTCTGTATCTAATCTTGCAATACAATCCCTAAAATTCACACTAGGTGCCACCAGTACCAGTGTGATGTCATACAGATCTACAACACTAAACAGATCTGGGGTTAGAATATCACGTTACCACTAATAAAAACTAAAACCCAGGAATCAGAAATACTACAAGAAGATGAACTGCTTGAGCTTTGCTTTCATCCTGCCACTAATGTCTGAAATTTACAGATGATTGTATCCAGCACTAATTGTTGTTGTTAGCACTGTCTTCTACATAACCGCTAGGAAAGAATGCCGCTGACATCATCAACAAACCCGAAAGGTTTATTGTTACCAACGCCTTCGGTGAGCAAACAATGCAGTTCAGAGTCACAGACATTTCTGTCCCTCCAATCCATCTCATAAAACGTTAATGAAAATAATCAGAAATATTTTAAGCTTTTTATTGACTCACTGTAAAACTTCTTTTTTGGATGAGACAGAAAAAAAAAAAACCTTAACATTGTGAACACTGACTTTGCATATTTTAAAGGAACTACAAACCAAAGCAAACATCCAACATACTGTTTTTTGGTAAATAAAATTTAAACATTACATATTTACAAATCTACAACCATTCATTTAAAAAGTGCTGCTTGCAGACTAACAAAGTACCATTTTTAAAATCCCAGTGAGATAATATCCAGAAATACCCCGCTCTATTCCTATTTGCATCTCCCATTTGTTACACAAAGATTTGACACGCAGGAATTTTCTCTTTCATGGGGTACAAATCATTTAATTTGCCAGTGGAAGTCTAATTCATTAGGCTGTAACTATACCAACAGCAAACCTTCTCAAAATGGGAAATAGTTAGCAGTGTCAGAGAAACAGCACAATTTCTATTCACATTTCAGTATTTCATCTCCAGTAATTATTCCAGTGGAACCATAAGTAAAGCAAAATATATATTGCACTGCAAATGTAAAACCTTTGTTTCTAAGGTTTTTGACATAAGCATTATTTAGTACACAAAAGGAGAAAATTCAGTTCATACAAAACTTTAAATTGAAAATATGTCTCAAATATTTTATTTATCCATCTTTGCGCTATTGGAAAATATACTCAAATTGCTTTACTAATAAAGGACAGCGAGATTTGAAAACTGTTTCAACACTGAGTTGTAAGATGCTTAAAAATTATGCACCTCAGGACTTACATTTTGAACATCATGACTTGAATGAGGAAAATTTCCCACTTAAGAGTATATCACTATTCCGACGATATTTTATTATAGTATTTCTACAGTGGACTGACTTGCAACAGACTTTATAAAACAACTCATTAAGTATAATGATTTCACTTGATGAGCTACTACATGATCTAGTAATTTAAAAGCACACCCAAGTGAACATCAGCAATGTTTCAGGAGTGCCACGCTGGGGATGCAAGAACACAGTAAGATTGTTTGTCTGGAGGAGGCGCATACAATCCTTTCCAGGGTACAGTATATACTCTTCTGGTAACACTGGCAAGACTGGTGATATTTGAATGCAGTGGCAAACTCGTTGGCTTTATAAGCCTGAGGACAGTTGGAAGTGCTAACAATGAAGCTGGGACTAGAATGGAGAAAGCGGGTCACGTATTACAAGCGTTGCACCTACTCCTGTGCTAGCAGTGTTGTGTCCTCGTGAGTGAGAGGGGGTCAGAGACCAGGCTCAGTCGCTTCTGCCAGGCTAAACCAGGCAGTGCCAAGCTTCCTTCATAGCCACGTACCTCTAACACACCACGGCAGCTCTGGAAAAAGCATTTGCCCTCCTTCATGGCTTGAAGGTCCTATACAACAGTGGCTGCCCCAAGTGGTAAATGACATGGGAAACAGAACTGCACAGAGCTAGGAACGTTACTACACACAGCACAGACATGTATGAGTTTATGTACACAGCAACTACTGTATGCAACTTTTACTTGGTCAATACAGTGTACTTACTGTACAGAGCAGAGCACACATGCACACTAACAGGTACTTACAATGAGTATGTTAAAAAATAACCCGGTGTTTTTCACAATAGTTCAGAAGAATGAAGGGGGTATGTATCCACCCTACACTGATACACTGTTCACCACCTAGCTGGGTGAAAAAAGTAGCTGTATTTCATGCATGAGGAATACTTTACAAGCGTGGCAGTACAAAAGAGAGCATCACAAATTGTTAAAATAAATTAAATGTGAAAAACGTTGGTATGTGTAGCATTGCTAGCTCTACCTCAGGGTGGGGGGGATACTCTCAAAAAGGTCAGCTACATAATTAGCAGCAAATTAGAGAAGAGGTATTACCCAATGAAAGCTGTATCCAACAAGACTGCATCTTGCAATTAGCATCAGCATATACCTGCAGCTCTACAAATTTTAAATCCTTTCTCCTTAGGGCAGCATCTTCTTACTACTTTACAGAGGCCTGGCAGGAGGTTACATAGAGCTTCATAGCAGCATTACTTCTCATTTAAGCCTCTAAGATGCTCACTCTATTTCATTTAATAAAATAAACGTGAGCTTTAAAGTTCTCCTTTCTGCCTAACTAAATATTGCTGTATTATTACATTCACAAATTAAAGAGATTTTAAAAAAACACCTGCTGGTAGGCAGACAAAAAGGTAAGATCTAATGTAACAGCTTAATATTTAGAAGTATTATTAACAGCAACAACTAGAAGGAATTAGAATTGGAAAGCTATTAAGATTACTTAAAATAAAGCTATTTGTTAAAGCATGGTTCAATTTGTTTAGGGTGTTTTGTACAATTCAATGTCTGTTTTCCCACCTCCATACAAGACTTCTGACATTTTCTCTGTAGCCTACCTTCTGGTGAGGAGTTGCTATGTGACTGAGAGCACAGAACATTTTTTTAAACCTCTAGAACAAGAAAACATGAGTCAAAAGCCATGACTCCACCACAAGGACTGACATAGCGTTTTTCTTCACAGAAATAAAAAGAAAAAGTTGTTTTGCCTGTGAAATAGAGACCAAACATTCCAAGTACATTTAACTATGCACAATATGCCCCAATAAGTTACATTCCCCATATATTCCCTGTAGCAAGTTTGCTGTATCTACTTTAGTTAAAAGCTTTGGATTAGCATTATGTACGTGTCGTATTTAGTGTGTTTCAAACACATCCACCAAGACTCTGAACACTGCATGTTGGTGAAGAACTTCTGGCAGGCTGCCATTTGGTTTGTATTACATCTGTAACGAGGTCACGTGAACAAACGCCAACAGCTGAGATGGACTGATCCCAGAAAATAATCCGTAGGCCTCTTCAATACGGTTTCTCTTTACTAGGGAGCAGGGGGAACAGGAGAGGAAGAGGAGGAGATTTCTACAGAAGTGTTTTACGGAGACATCAGTGTGTTCATTAGTAGAGTTTTACAGAAGTTTACCATACCTTCCTTCTGATTGCTGTGGTAACATGTTTTCCATGTGTGCATGAGAGAAATCCTGTATCTAGAGTGCTGTCTAGGTGAAGGTTAACGTTTTCTATTCTGCTTTAAAAACAAATCACTCTCCAAAAAGTAACTGGACAAGTTACTATAAATAGCAGTGTACTGCAAAAAAAATAAGCACTGTATGGCTTATGCAGCAAGTCCATTTAAAATTCACTCCAGTAATTTAAAAAAATTAAAAAAATATCAACTTACTATAAACAATTTAAAATATGTATAATACAACTTTGTATGCTCTTCATAACATCATGAATATTCTATGTAAACAATAGATTTTGAAGGATTTACTTCGCTCACATTAGTTTCAGTGCATTGTTTCTGTCCACCTGTTAATTTTTTTTACGGGAACTGTAATGTGTTGTCCCAAGTTAACCAACTGATTTTGCTCAGAATCTTCCTTTCTACACATTGCTTTGCAGAAAGGACAAGGGTTAGGGAAACAACTCTGTCCATTTCCACAACTGTGGATAGGCCTAATTTTTCCAAGTTCTTCTGCCACAGTGCGTTCGTACATACGCTCTTGAACACTGAAGACTGAGATGTTCCTTGTGACTGAAGTGGTTATTTTACACAGGTATGCATCATAGATATCACCTCTTTATCTAGGTATATTTAAAGATATGGCTCTCCAAAAATCTTTCTGCATTCCATCACTCCAGTACTTGGTGGTCTATCACAATTACAAGTATTCTTCACTTGATTAGCTGTGAGACGATCATAGGCCATTTTGTACTCTCTGTCAAAAGCATCTGCAGAAGTAAGTAGAAAAAAAACCCTCTACAGACCATGCTCAAAAGCACAACCCAAATATAATGACAG